TATCTAGCCTTGCACACAGTCATTTAAAATACAGTTTCCTTTTCCATTTTGAGTTAGCACTGTCTATCAGCTTTCACTGCAAATAAGTGATGTATAACGAGAATTCAAAGGAGGATGAAAATGTTTATATAAATCATCTGAAGATGTTGTCCAGTCAAATCTCTCTGGTCCTAACTTAAATCAACTGTTTTGTCCTTGTCTTTGAAATGTCACTTGCTCTCCACAGAGGTGACCATGATGGTGTTTACATCTTTTTCCTTACATAGAATCTGCAGTTTTCTTCTTACCTTTTTTTTTTCCCCTTACATCTTCAGAAATGCCTTAAAGGGAGTATCTTTGGGATTTCTGTGGGAGTTTCATACTTTTCTCCTAGATTCTGTTTTCTTTTTTCACCTCACCAGGTCTCTGTTTAGTCTCACCTACAAATCAAAAGTGAACTCTCCAGAGTTCATGAGAAACAGGTTTTTTAGCAAGCTTTACCTGCTTTTGCTACAGCAGGCACTGATCTATGCTGGTTTCATCTATGAAGTGAGATTTTTCACTTGAATCTATCTGGCTTGGTGGAAGTCATGTCTGAGTTATTGAAGTTCCTAATCTATTTTTGTTGTGCCAGTATGGTTATGAGATACCTGTACATACAAATGGGTATAGATCTGTTAGTTATAGAGTAGCAGTTTATCTTGCTAGCTTTAATTGAAGTGACTCTTCACACCAGATAAACTAAAAGGTGTGTTTGGTTTAATTTCAGAGAAGGGTTGAGCTCTTGACTAGTTAGTTACAAACAGAGTTCAGAAGAGGACAACTAAAGACATTGGAGATAATTTTTGGAGAATATCTGCAACTGTGTTTGTGTGTGTTTTTTTGGTTTTTTTGTTTGTTTGTTTTTTGTAATTGTCACACAGGCTTTTTAGTGTGTATTTCAGGCATAGAAATGAGCAAAAAAACCAGCCCATATTGTGGACGCTTTTTCTTAGAAAAAGATTTCAAAATTACTTTGGGGGCTAATAAGCCCCTTTTTCTGTTCTCATCGGGCAAATCAGTGAAGCAATACTATGACCTATCTTTCTCTCTCCCCTTGCTCATGATGTCTTAGAATCATAGAATGGGATAGATTGGAAAGGACACTGAAGATGTTCCAACCCCCCTGCCATGAGCAGAGACACCTTCGACTAGACTAGGTTGCTCAATGCCTCATCCAACCTGGCCTTGAACGCTTCTAGGGAGGGGGCATCCACAGCTTCTCTGGGCAACCTGTTCCAGTGTCTGACCACCCTCACAGAAAATAATTTCTTCCTAGTATCTTGTCTAAATCCGTCCTTTTCCAATGCTTCTGCTGATTTCAGTTTTCATATGTTTTATTTAAGTATTCCATTTAATGCAAATATACTAAGTAGTTCCTGTATAGTCAATTAATTAGCAATGTTCTTGTGCTCCTTTGACATTTTAACTGTTGCTTTGCTGACTTCTACTTTAATTGCCATTCCTGTTGGTCCCATTTTTAAGACCTTTAGAATTTTGGAAATCATAGATCAAAGAAATGCTCTCATTGCATTCTGTAAAATCTACACATCTCAGGGTTGCTTCAGCTTTTCATGATCAGAAAACATAATTTGTTAGTGTAGATAGCAAAGTTTGTATCCACGCACTTAATCCAAAGAATGTTTTTGTAACATTTGTGTGCTTTAGAGGTTCACTGTTTGCAAATAGTTTTATTCCTTTCACTTTTAAATCTAAAATCCTTGTTTCTCTTTTTGACATCCCATTGTGAATTTCTAGACATCAATTTAAATTTTACTTGATAAAAATAGAGCTATTTATTTTCCCTTACCATTATCTTCTTTCTCATTCACTTCAGATGAGGAGGATGACTGGACCATCTGGCACATAAACTTCTCTTTGGGCCTTTTTCTAAATGTTTGTGTTTGATGTGTGTCCAAGTTTTGCAGATTCTTTCTTTGAGACCTTTGTTAGGTATGGCCTATCATAACCATTGCCACAGCTAATATGTTCTTACTTTGCATCCTAATTTCAGTAATTCCTTTTTCTTGGCCAATGCAATGTTATCTAGTCATTTAAAATATTCTGCAAGATCCTTTTCTTGGTTTATAAAATCAAACTGTATTTATGTATCTGATTCTTTCTTTCTATCCAAAACTTATTTGTCTTTGCCTTTAAACTTTTTATGGCTTAAGTGCATTCTAGTATCATCCTTCATCCCAAGATATCTATTCCTGCTGTTAATTGGCTCATCACATGAGCCCATATTGGCCAGCTGTTAGTTTTCTTTCTATAAAGTCCCTGCATTCCTTATAAACATCTTTTTAGAAAATCATTTTTCTCCCCCAAATCCCTCCTTAAAGTCTTTTTGCTGTGATGTCTAAATAAAAGCTGGACGAGACTTATCTCCTGGTGTGCTAAGAATTCTACCTGTCTAGCTGACCAACTTCAGATGTTTAAAAAAAAAAAAGAAAAAAAGTGCTAGAGGGTAACTATTCACTGTATTTTAGCTGATCTTGGTCTGTGATTGTTCCCTTAGCATGTGGCAATGCCAAGTAATTTGAGTTAGCATAGTCATCTTGCATTGACTGCAAACTGCAGCTTTCTATAGTTAAGTATTTATTAACGCTTGAAACCCTTTTCTTGTACTAAAACTGTGCCCTCTTTCATTGAGAGCTAATGTAACATGAATTGCCTTGCATTCACCGTGGGCTGAGTGTGCACATGGACAGTTACCTGGCAGTTATCTAGCATAACAGTAACCATACAGTTCACAGCAGACTGCCCATAATTCAAAAGGGAAAAGGTGAAATACTTGTAAGTGGGGAGAGGGACTAAGAACTACACAAAATTCAGAAATGTAATTTCACCTTGGTTTTCACTTCCAGTCTGTTGGATTCTTGTGTGCTTTTGATTTCTCTGCTGTAGTAAAGAATATGCTCCTCTGACCATATATTACTGTTGATGTTTCTTCAATTAGAAAATAGGAGACATTTGAGGATATGATTTCCAGTATAGCAGCGGCATTTTCTTCCTGAAAATTCATCAACCTTTTAGCATGCTGTTAGTATTCTTCTGCTCCCTATTCTTTCCTTCCTGGGAAAGAGTAGTTTGAGAGTGATTATAACTTGTGAGCTTGTCTTTATGGATTTATATAAGCATTTCATGGTATTTTAGAGGGGTACAGTGTAAATGCTATCTATCTAACTGGTTGTTTATTTTTATTGTTATCATGTATAGGTTTTTGAATTTGGGTGTAGTTGAAGAAATTCAGTGAGTGAAATTTGGAGTTGGGGTTAAGGTTCCTTTAAGATCTTGTAAAATAAAAATAAAGAAAATATATATTTTTCTAGAAAGAGTAATCTCACTATTGTGTTTTTCAAGCTGCACTTAAAGCTAATATGTGAAAAGTAAAAATAATAGTTAATAATGATATGGATTAGGCAATATGCTGTATTTTATTCTTAAAAGTGTTTCAACAGAGGCTCTCTTCTGGTAGTTATTTTTCAGGGAAAAAAGTTAAGTAGCTATTATGTAGACTGCATGAGCTTTTAGCAAAATTGTTAATCGAATTTGGGGTTTATCGTAGTAAATGTATTTGCTCTTCTTATTTTTTATGAAACTAGATACATTTAGCATTATGAAAAATGGTACTACAAGCATTAGTGTTAATAGCTTAGTATTTTAGTCCTTCACAAATTAATACCTGTGGTAACTGGATGGTTTTAGGCCTGTTCTTATAAATAAGGCCTTACTGATGTGCAAGGAACAGTAATATGTGGCAAAAACTCCACTTTAACCAAGGTAAGCAGTATAAATGGGGTGTAGGAATCCCTTGTTAGACTAAAAATCTCCAAGAGAAAACCTCCAGAGCCTACAAATTAAAGACCTCCAATATAATTTTAAAATAAAGCCTTTTATGTAGTAGGATAGCATTTTTTCAGTTGATAATCAAATGACACTATTATGCAGGCTTACTAGATTTGCAAATTTACAAGTTTTTACAAGTCAGTTGGGTCCCTTCCTCAGGAAATCAGTTTAAGTTTTTTTTTCCTGTATTGACTCAAAGAGCCTGGTTGTCCTTAAATCCTTCTGAATATATTTGCCTTATAATTTGACGGCATTGAGTCAACAGTCTTATAGGAACTGTAATGCAATAAAAAGAGAAACTGTTCAATATAGTTTCCAGTTACCTTAGGATCAGAATTGGAGAAACTGGAATGTACATAATAAAACCTGTGCAAGACTTGAGTTCCATGTTGTTTTGGAACCAACTAGTGCTTTTCAACATAAAATACCATTTGAAAGCTTTGCTCTGCTTCCAATGGTTGTAAATGATAAACATGAAAACGTGTGTGATTCTTGAAATACACATTTTACTGTTTTTAATTTTCTGAACCATACCTTTATAGAGTTGAAAACTTCACAGACAAGTAACTAAGCATCAATGTTTTTACTCAGTTCAGTATTTTGTTATAGTGAATGTTTTTGCTCTACCATGTTCTGCAATAAAATTCTTTATAAGTAATTTACATTTTTTACTTAGAAAAAATATGTAGATTCAGATGTGCTTGGTAAACTCTTTATTTTGTAAAAGTCTTTAGATTACACTGGAATCACCAATATGCATCATGCTTGCAAACAGAATGCTCAAAATTTAGTTCTGTCTCAGCTTTTTGTATGTAGCTAGCAGTAAACTTGTTACGAATTTCTTGTGTACCCAGAAATAAATTTGTCCTTTATTTCAGATATGAATTTGTTGCATTTGACTGTATAGTTTTAATTGTGGTTTCATTTTAGTTTTGCAAATAAAATTAATCTGAGGTAATTAGTTATTTTAGTTTTGGCAAATTATTATAAAAAGAGAGAAACTTGTATCTGCATATATCTGTGAAGGAAGAGATTACATCTGATGTGTTTTCAATAAGTAATTTCTAAGACAGGTAACTAAATGGGCTCCATTGTAGTAATTTTTCCTTTCTTCAACTTACTTTTAGTTGACTTGGAGCACATGCGCACAGTGAAAGTTGACAAGCACCAGCGATTTTGCCAGGAAAACAATTTCAGTAGTCATTTTGTGTCGGCCAAGACAGGAGATTCTGTAAGTAAGAAAAACAAAATCCTTGTAGATTTTTTTTTTAATTTATTTTTTTAGGAAAGCCATGATTCTGGGATATGATGTAGCAGTTGTATTATACTTCACGTATCATACCATTGAGAACTTTGGCTGCTGCAGGTCCTTTTTGCCTACCTACTTGTGTGAAAAATAAATCTTTGTATAAGTGTATATGTTCTTTATTAATTACAGTGTCTTCTCATCTGATTTGCACTTTGAGGTACAGATTTTAATATGGAAATGGTCTAGTTTATACATCAGCATGAGAACTGAGACCAGTTGGATCTCTGTTTGATGTCAGCCTGTAGTTAAATGTATTCCTTCAATCCAGGTGAAGTCCCATCTATAGGCCATCAATATAGCAACTTCCAACAGTTGATAATGTCACAGGACCCTGTTGTGATCAAAGTTTTTATTATGGGTCATGAGCCATGAGAGACACTCCCTCTGCAGGTCCACTGAAATTCGAACATTCTGGTATTTGTAATGCTTTGCAGAGCACATTTTTGAACACTCTTTTGACTCTGAGCTTAACTGGATTATTTGTTTTAGTTGGAAGCCTATGGAAGAAAAGGTTCTTTTCTGTTGACTGTGTCAGTCGAATCGCACTGTATTGTTTTGCTTGATTTCTGTCACATGCCTAATGACTCTGTCATTCCCATAAAGCAGTCCTGTGTCTGTCTCCTGTTTATGACGACATAATTTACTTTAGTATTATATTACTGAATGGTAAGACCATGTTCAATTATAAGTATAATTCTCTAACACAAATGGAATAACTTGTGAAGATCTTTGGTGAAACTTCTACATCGGACTGCTTGATTTTATAAGATAATAGTTATTCTGTGAATCTAACAAGACTACTGTTATAATGCAAGTGAATCCTGATTCTCCTGATTTTTGTTAAATCTTTGGCATAATTTTTTGTTTAAAGTGTGAAAATTCAAGCTCTTTATGCTAGAAACAATAAAAATTTTATAATACTTCAGTCACTAAAGTGTGCATCTGATAATATGTATTCCTTTCTCAAAGAGACAACCTTTTTGTGGGATTTGGTGATAGGAATAAAAAGTAGTTCTTTTTATAAGGTTGATATATTTAACATTACAAATCAAGAAGGAATCTTTATTAAATCTTTTTAATTGATTTATGAATTACAGCATCATCCCACTGTATATACTGATTGTCCTTATTTTTAACTTACCATTTAAAAACAAAAGTAAATCTGAACATAACCTAGAAATCATTAACCAGAAATCTCTATTAAAATATCTACTAATGAATGAAGGTATAAGGTATAGTTTACAGTAATTTTTAGTTTCAGTATAGATTTAACTCTTTCACTGTTAGCAGACACTGGCCTTTGCAAAAGATAGTTGTATGTACATAGAAAAGTCCAAAAGTCTCCTCAGGGGATAAAAATGTTTATGAAAGATTTAATATAGCTAGCTATCTTACTGTCCATCAAATGGCATAACTAAAGCACTGAACTCATGCCTGATGTTTTGTGCACAAAGCATCCTCATGGCAGATGATCTAGCTTAGTACACCTGAGAGCCTGGTGTGTGTTAAAGTAGGTGTCTGGAAAAGGTAAGCTTGTTCAAGATTTCCTTTCTTGCTGTATGGATGCTAGTAGAATAGAGCAGTACTAGACCAAGTAGTTCAGAGAAAGATAAATTATTTTGGAAGCTTCCATGTCTTGTTGGTTGCACCATTAAGTCGTTACTAGTTTCCATGTCAGGTGTAAGAAGAGATTGTGTAAATGGTTTTTTTTGTTGTTGTTGTTGGGGTTTTTTTGCATTTTCATTGAAAATTACTAAAAGCACTTACACAGGCCGTACCTTTAGTGGGTGGCAGCTGCATGATGCAAAGCAATGTTTGTTGGTAGTTTAGATTGTGAGCTCAGTGCAATAGCCATGTGGATAAGATATAATGTGTAGCTTGACAATATGGTGTTCAGCAGCAGTACAAGCCTAAGCTGCTCCTCTTCAACATCTGTTGCATTCTTTAATCTTATTTAAAATACAGCTACCTGAACAGTAAGATTGGTGGACAGGATTGAGATGAAGTAGAGGAGTTATTTAAGTTAGCATTGCCACCCCATGTTATCTGTCAAATCATGTCCAAAGTCTAACTCTGCTAGGCTGGTGTGTGCCTTACACCATCTTGCTTGTTTCCTGGGTAACTTCTGTTCAGTATAACACTCAGTGTTTTGCAAGACTCTTCAGAACAAATATATCATTGCTTGACTTTCATATTGCTAATGTTTTTTAAACGTTTGCAATAGAGATTTTGTTGATGCATAGTTCTGTTGTTCTCAATTTCAGAAACTTACATCTCTATTGCACAATACACTGGTAGTATATTTTTGTGCTAAACATTAATGAATACCCTTATTCATATTTTATAGCACCGAGGGCAGTATTTGAGAGGTGGGTTGTGTAAAAGCTTGTTTAAACTTAGGTCTCTGGAGGCAGAGTAGAAGTGTTGCTTAACAGTCCAGCATACTGTTCATTCCTTGTACCATTGTTGAGTTATTTTCTCAAATTCTTAAACAAAATTAAATGTACCAGATGAGGTTATTTTCAGATGTGTTTTGCACAGGTCATAATTTTGTATATCTCATTGTTTACAGTTCAAGAATGGTTTGAAGTATTTGAAAGAACCTCGAGGATGTCTGTTTTTAATCATTTAAATACAATTTAATATTTTTCCATAGGTCTTCCTGTGTTTTCAGAGAATTGCTGCTGACATACTTGGCATCAAATTAAACAAAGCAGAATTGGAACAATCACAGGTGATTTTCCACAAATACGTGTTTTTTCTTAATATTTTTATTTAGTATTAAAAAGTTAATCTCATTGCAAAATAATAACTGTCCTTTAAAGCAAGCTGCTGAAGACAATTATTTACTTTTACAACAGCTTTTTAAAATATAATAATTCTTTATTTATCCATCATGATAAACTTGCTGAAACAAGAAAAGGTATGTTCAAAAAATTAGGAAAAAAGGGTTTTTTGAGAGCTGTATGTTTAAAAATAGTACTTAAAATTGTGTTAGAAATTAAAACCTCTCTGTATGTATGCATCTACAGGTATCATGGAAGACACTTTTATATAGACATTAATTACTGTACATTGATGTCAGATACATTAATTATAATTGTTCTTTTTAATTATTTACATATTTAAACCAAATTTTATATTAGAACACTACAAATTTAAGTATAGAAGGCATAAGCTTCTGTGAGTAGAAATGTTCTAAATCAATCTTCATTGTAGTCATACAGGAAAAATTATTATTTATCAATCAGAGAGTCAGGAATTAACTATGTCACATCCTGTGTTTGGTTAATCCCAGATTTTAGTTTTCATTGTGTGCCTGTATAATACAGGACAAGAATACTGTCCTCAGCAGTGACTGCCTGCCTTGGGGAAAGAATATTGACTTTGTAGTCACTATTTTCCATTTTATTCTGATAGGCAGATGAGAAATGAATCCTTTCCTGGTTCAGTATACCCATCTGAGCAGCAGGCAGACCCGGGGAATCATGGGTTTGGGTAGCTATTACAGCTCCTTGGCATCTGCAATTATTTTTCTCACTGTACCAGACCCAAACAATCTCCCCTTAAAGGGCCTGCATTGTTTCTACCCTTGCATTTTGTGTTTTGTTCTTTGTGTTATGAGTGTTATCTTGCAGATTTTCTGCCATTTCCTCTGCAGTTAGAAAGGGCTGAGAGAGAGGAGAATGTTTTCCAGCAATAGGTGGGAAGATCATCACGAAGGTTGTCCCCCATGCTCTTACATCGGTTAGCAGTGAGTTAGGGATGTGAATATAGTCGTTGCACTGTGAACGCTTGGCAAAACCCTGCTGTGTGTCCTGCTCTGAACTATAGCAGAGCTTTGTTGCATTTCATGCTGTTCAGTAATCAACATATGCAAAACAGCTCTAATGAGAACCTTTTTTATGACCTTACTAATTAGTGGGGAAAAGATGTTTTCACTTTTTAAAAAAATTTGAACTGTGACTGTATTTTACTGTGACATATTTTACATATGATTACTTGCTTAACTGTATCTACCAGAGTTGGAGGTCACTTAGTTTTTATCAGAGTTAGGAGATCAAAATTGTTTTAATTGCTCAAATAAGCAATCAAACAAGAGGTTTTCTAATATAACCTTTTCTCTTACCACCTCCTTCTTCCTAGTTCTTGCTTCAAAAAATAATTTTCCTGCCAGGAAGACCATGTGCATAGATTTAAACCAAAAAGATGTTATACAAATTCAGTTTCAGAAACCTTGAAACGAAGATTATGCTACTGAGGCAACCCTTACTGTATAATGATGTTTGAGATTGCAATAAGCTTATTTTAAATTTACTTATTGAACCAAAAGGTAGTTGTTCTAGTGTTGTAATATCCTGGAACTGGTAGTTATTACCGACATTAAACAAGTACTACAAAATAAGTCAACAAGCTTATTTAAAAGAAAGGCAAGATATTTCTTATGTACAACTTGGTCTCCTGCTTTTTGAAATATACGATAAATATGTAATTTCTGGAAGTGTTTTGCCACAGCAGTGTTTACAGTCTATATTGAAGTGGTTAACTAGAGTACTGTATTTCAAACAGTAAAATGGTAAAATATACTTGCAGTGCATACCTAACAAGCAAAGCTAAGGAGCTTCGAAAAGCTGTAATTTATAGGTATAGAAATATTGTGTCTTTTCAGTGATCTTTTACTACTGAGGCACATCTGAGCTCTATGATTATTTACATATAAGTAATTCAGCACATAATGAGTCCTTTAATTTTACTTTGGTTGTTTAGCAAGTACTGGAACATCAGCCTTGGACTTCTCTGTGCTGTGTGCTGGTATGTTCTGGTAACTCAGGTGTAAGCTTGTGGACAGGTATGCAAATATCTTAAACTAAACAGAGAATATGAGAAATGGGTTATACAGAAAATTGTAGCTTTCTAAAGAAAGTGTCTATTTTTAGGTTGTTTTTAAAGTAAGGACCTTTATATAGCCCTGACTCAAGCGTACGTAACTTTCTATGTCAAATTGGTATTGGCTTTAAGTAGCTTCTTCCTACCTTAGTATTATAATTGCAATTTTTAATTTTGTTGAGCAGATCAATGGAATATGCAAAATATGGATCAGACAAAGTTGATATTATGCAAATTGCAGTAGCGATAGCCTATAAATAGTTAATATGTGTGAATTAAGTACTCACTGTGGCTCACACGTTGCTGTTAATGTGAATCCAAGCTTTAATTATAAGAAGAAAAGGTAAAAAAAAAACCCTGAAAAAATAAGAACAACAACAAAACACCACCAAAAAAAGTAGAAACAAAGCCAGTAGATGGAGTTGGGCAGAAAAGAAACTTCATTGTTGACATTCAGGTACAGCAGAAGTCACTATGTGGTGCTACGCTGTGCACATAGCTAAAGAGAGAAAGCTGGAAAACAGCTGCCTGACTTTGCAAGGTTCTGCTAATCAATGTAGTTTCAATCTATTGCAAGCAAGCAATAGCTCTTTGTTCCCAATAAAATACTTACTTCCTTTCAGAGTGCTATTCTGAGTGTAGGAATTGCCCAAATTTAAGTCAGTGAAAAATCAAGGGGATTTGTGTTGTAGTGTCTGTCAGCTGTATCTTAAAGTTCATTGCTGTATGGAACCCAATACCTTGGCTGCTTCTTAAGGCAGGAAAGGTAAAATCTCTACATAAAACCAGAGAAGGAAAACTTTAACCTTCATATCCACAGGGAGATGAACAGAAGGACATTTCTTGAGAGAAACTTTAGTCTGCAGTGGAAGAGACTAATTGAAGTAATGTGTTGATGCTCTTTCCCAAAAGCATGGAGCTTGTCTTTTGGCTGGAAGGACCGGGGGTGGTAGATGATGTTGCCATTACTAGGTTTCTGGTTGACCACAGACTTTTTGTATGACAGGTATAGAGAGATGGATGCTGGATAAATGCTATAAAGAAACAAATAAAAAAGTGCAATAATAAATCCCTAAATCAGTAAGTATGCAAGTGTTGACTTAGGTTTAATTTTTAAACAAAGAGTAAAATATATTTTAGTTTTTACAAAAGTGCACTATTTTCAAGTTGGATTATATCTTTGAATTTTCTATACTTTGGATAATGAGGTTTCCTCATTTTGAAAAATGAGAAGGTTGTTTCTTGAATATGTTTGATAGAGAACATGAGATGTCTTCATTCAGTCTGGGTGGTAACAAATTATAAGATGAAAAACTGAGTTTGTGTAAAAAGCCAACAGTGAAATGCTCTATGTGAGTTATTTTTTACTATGCATTTCTTCATTATTAATGATGGTCTAATATTGAGGATACTCTTTTAGAATTATTTCTTGCATTTTTAACTTTATGTCTGAAGATCATATTTCTTGTGTTTAAAATCACTTATAATTGTCACAGTCACTAGGAAGATCTTAGAAATGACTGACAGGTGGTTGGAAATAAGTAATAGGAATCCCAAAACACATTATTTTAACTTGTATGAATTTGTGGGACTTGACTCATGACTTTTGAGCTTTGATAACTGGCAGAACTGCAGAAGCTCTTGTGAAAAGTGGATGGGGTTCTTAGTCCCCTTCAAATTAACAGCAACTGTTAGTCAACTGCAAGAACAAGCCTTAAAAATTGAATTATTTACCATACATTGTTTTAGAAAACAGCTGCAGCAATTTAAGGTATTAATGCAATCCAAGCTATTTGTTTCCAGCCTTTTTGCTGGAATTTATCATTCCCACAGCAGAATCAGAAAATGGAAGGTGATCATGTACCTTGGCCATGTCAGGGTGAAGCGTAGCAGCTTAGCTTGAACTGCTGCTGAAAGTTGTTTTTAAGTGAAGCTGCCAGACTTAGTGCTGAAGCAGATGAGGTATAAAAACACTTACGTTCCACCAGCTCTCCTTTGGCAGCAGTGATCTCCAGCAGAAGAATAGGACAGACATTTGAGGGTGGTAAGTTTTTTAAACTATCTCAGCTAGAGCTACTAAACCTTGTCTGTTAACACGCTGAGATGACTGTTAATCAAACCTTTATTTGGTCAAAACTGTGGGGAAACAGAGAACTAGAAGATTATTCTTTATGCGTGACTGGAAAGTAGAGCATGTTTTTGAAGTGGAACAGTTCCAAAGTAAGAAAATTGCAGATTCTGACTTATTTTCAGTCTCCAAAATACTCTCCCTTTTAAATCGCAAGGGTCTGCTGAAATTTGAGGAAATAGCTCCTTTACTAATCAAATGTTTTTCTTTCTATATTTTTTACTTTCAACTGTAGCGTAAAAACTGCATGGGGTACAGCTTTGTTCCTTGGCATTGGCAAGAGCTAGCATTTTTGTAAGTGATGTGTAGTTTTCTCTTTAACTAAATGCCAGTTCAGCATGCTGGGGTGTGTGTGCCAGCTTTGTAAAATAAAATGTTGGGCAGATAAGTCAGATCTGGAATTCAGAACACCTGCACCAAGAAAGTTTATTTCTCATTATTGACAGTGATTTGAACCATGGCAATGATATGCCTGACACAGAAGCTGATACAGTGGAACCCAAGTTTTTAATTAGCATGAAGTTAATAAAAGAAATGTTACAGGGTTTTTTTTTTTTACTCTTATTTAGATGAAATTCTTTTAGAAAATCCAAGTCATTTATGTTAGTCAGTTTCTTGCTACAGTGTGCCTAAGCATGGGTCATTAACCTGTGTGTGTTTACAGGATGGGATTTAGACCAATGTTTTGAAGAACAATTAATTGCCTACTGATTGCAAGACTTTTTTTTTTTTTTTATCTTCCCCTATCCCCCCCCTCAGTTCTAGTCAAAAGATTGGTATGAAGAAACTAGGTCCTGTAAGGTCAGATAACACTGTTTAATGCTAAAACTCCTACGACTCCCTTACATGGTATTTGGCAACCTTTCCCTTGATAATATCAGGCCAGAAGTCCAGTAAATCATGAGTGTTGTCCACTAGATAAGATAATATGAATGTGATCAATTAAACTCAAGGAGAGTACATCAGCAGCTAATAAATCCAGATCCCTGACCAGCCAATTCAATTATTGTTGCTTGTTTGACATACAGGTTTTATTTACAGAGGTAACCTTTAACGTGTACTGTTTATATATTCATATAATACAGTTTAGGTATTATTTCCTTTAAAATAGTAGTATTTATTCATTTATCCATTAATTTTAACCTTGAATATATATTGTGTAAAAGTTGAAGTATTTAAGAAAAAATCATTAAACTGGTTTAGGGTATCTTTCATAGCAGACCTGCCTCTTCTGTTACTTCTTTACTGAAATTATTCTATGAATTTTTGTCCCCTTTGCATGAATGCTGTATTAATAGCGAGAAAACTTCCAACAGTTTGTTTTGTCTTTAAGGGGAAAAATGAGAGCCTTTTGTCTTTATATTAAGTCAACAAAAATCAAAGCTTTGCAGCACTTAGGTGTGAGGTTGTTAATTTCTGTCACTGTTTTTGATTATCTATTTAGTTATAACATGATAGTTATGTAATGGAAAAGATGCATGTGAACTTCTAATGCACTTGTTACAATTGTTGATAAGAAGCTGACTAATGTCATATTTAAGTACCCTAAACTTAAAGGAATAGGCCATTGTAATCTCTTCTTCCACTGAATTGCCTTCCTTTTTATTCTGTCCCTTCTTTTCCTTTGATACACTTTTGTTGATTGCATGTATGAACATTTCACTTTGGTGCTTTGGAAGGGCATGTCCTTGAAGAAGCTTGAAAAGCAGCCCTGATGCTGATAGTGATGCTTTCAGCTAGATGTGTTGCTCTTGGCATAAGGCCTGAAGAGAAATGCACTTAAGTTTTGCTTCTGCATAGTCTTTTTATGTCATTCATTCATTCTTTTCAACTACTGATCAATTTCTCATTTTTTTTCCCTTCTCTTTTCTTTTTACATTCTTCTCCTTGCCCTCTATCCTTTATGCTGATACATGATTAACAGCATGTTGTCAGGGCAGAACTAGTGAAATACCCTGAAGAAGATAACCAACATCACAACACTTCCAACTGCCAGAGCAAAGTCTGCTCAATGCAGTAGTTCAGGTATTGGTGGAAAACGTGGGGTTTATTTCAAGATGCATTGCTTTTACATGAAGTAACAACTGTTACAGTAAGTGCTATTGGAAAAATATATTTTGTATCTCTAAGCACTTGTAATACTTAACATCTTAACTTGGAACTCTCTGTACAATCACATGGTGTTTCTAGTAACCAAATGCTTCAAAGAAACTTTTAAATACTTCATGTTACCGTATTAAGAAGGTCCTTTGGTGCTGTATATTCAAAATGTTACATAGCTGCCTCAGATGGAAATGGACACAAAATTGGAATCTTACTTCCTTCTCCTTATACAGGAGACACCAACAGTCTTATTAAGTACTTTGTAAATAGAATGGGTAATATCTGTTTGATCTGTATTAGAAAATAAATATTTATTGTATGCAGAGGTTCTTTTCATGTTAATTTAATCTTTAGTCATCTGCCTATCAAAGCTTTTTTGAAATATCGTTATGTTTGAAATCAGCTTTGAATTCCAACCATATTTTCCTGTGATGTGCTTGACCTGGAGTGAAGACAGAAAGAAAAACTTGCGCACAATTTCCAATTACAGTTTAGGCAGTTTTTCTTAAAGAATGCATACCATAGTCTTTGTAAACAAATACGGTTTTATTATTTCCATACAAAACAATTTTCCTGGAAGTAAAATGGTACTCACTGCTTTTGCAAAAAAGTCGTGTTCCATTTGTAGTGTTGTGAAAACCTACCAAGACACTTCCTTCTGCTTAGCATGGATAAAATGGTATTTAGAATGAGAATTAGCACCTGGTAAGACTTTTCTGTAAGGTAATGAAAAAAAACCCCTAAACAACGTCTGTTTTGCCTAATTTTTTGTCCTTCATATTTCATAGTAAAATATCTGTTGAATGCTTTGCCAGCATGAAGACTGTATTTTCTGATTGTTACTGTGTTTTCTTTTATGACAGAGGGTGGTGAAGGCAGATATTGTCAACTACAGTCAGGAGCCTGTGACAAGAACCGTTAATCCTCCTAGAAGCTCAATGTGTGCAGTTCAATGACCACGCTGTTCTTCTCTGTCTTGATACCTTTGTCAGTGCTCCTACCTTGACGCAGTCTCTGGGATTACCAGGAACTTTGTTTTAACAGTGACCATCACAACAATGCAATTAGAGGTTTCAAAAACTTGTTGCAGCGTTGTACATTGAAAAGCAGCAGGCAGTTTTTTGACTGGCTGAAATTCAAACATGAGACCACACACTTTGAAAAATTAAGATCTATATTCTTTTAAATTATATTTAAATAAAGCAGTATACCTGTGTTTATATGTTTCTTCCTATCTATTTGACTGATACTGGAATAAAAATGGATTAAGAAGTACTGCATTCAAAATACTTTTAACGACATCACCGTGGAAGGGTATTTTGCCAAAGCATTTTTAAAATGTTTTTCTCTTTTTTTTCTCTTGTGATCTGAACTAGCACTCAGCAACATGTAACTTGGAAAAGCTATTGCTGGAATAATTTTAAGCATGTAATATATTTTATCTAGGGATAATTTGGAAAATATTCCATTAATATATATACATAGTGCAAAATGTATAAATTGTATCCAGTAAGAAACAGTGCTTGAAATAAAGCTGTAGTATAAAAATGATTACTTTTCCGAAGTCCCAATTTGTATATATGGATGCTCTGAAAAATGTTAGTGTTTTTGTGTATTTTTATTACCACATCAGCACTACTTCTTGCAGTAGTAGATATGCTCATATGTCTTCATGAATATGGATGAACGTCAGTCAACAGTTTGGGCTGTAGATGTTGAGTGATATATTCAGCATGCATTAGAAACTGTTGATAGATCAATTAGGATCAGTTATTTTTAATAACTAACTGAATGGCTTTTGGCCTGGTATTCTTTTCATTCTAGTTTGGAGTAAATGACAAATAAAAAGCTGTCTGCTCTGTGATCATCACATTTCTCCTCTGTTCCTTTTCTAGCAGTCTCTTTTGGACATGCAGTTCTCTGCTGGCAGACCTGAATAGAAAGTTAAGGAGAGGGGAAAGAAAAAAAGCCAACTTGATTCCAAACTAGAAATATTTCCCTGTTTTAGATCTAGAATGTGTTTTCTTCTAAAGTGCAAGAAAACATTTGGAGATTTAGAAAATTAAGGAGGCTGAGTGAAGGAAGCTTACATATCACAAGTGAAAATGATAAGGTCCTTCAAGTGAGTTTTAAGCTGTTCAAGCAGACGCTTAATAGTTGGAACTATTAAACTATTAATATTTTAATAAAGTAGTTAAACTATTTAACTATGTTATTAAAAAAGATTGCAAATGGCAAAAATGTGCTATTTTTTATTATTTAGGTGTAATCTGAGTTCTTTGAAAAGCTAAGTTCATTTTTAAACCATTCAACATACAGTTTGAGATCATTCAAATGTGGGAAAATGTAAGAAACAAGCTGAGATATTGAGATATTATTCTGCACTAAGGTAGGTGGGAATTTGCAGTAAATTATTTATTCTAGAGTTACAGTCTGTGTTCTTTCTCCTGTTCCATGGAGTTCATGTCCCACTGCATAGCTTTGCCTTATAGTTAAATGCAACTGAAAGGTGAACTGTCTTCCACTATCACCAGATGAGAACAGTTCTTCTGAAGTAGCTGATAAGTTTACAAGTTCATGCTGTCCAAAAGCACATGGTAAGTTTTTTTGAGTCCTCAGATTTCTTGGTGTTTTTGTGTCCTAAACTCTGCTCATATGTTCAAATATTCATGAGAACTGTCCCCTCTCTCTCACTAGTGCATGTGACTCAACTTCATAGTTCTGCTTCCCAAGTAATATACAGCATGGTCTTAAAAACCAAACAGTGCTTTTCTCTTAAAACCTTCTGTAATCTTACTTTTCAGAAGAAAATGCTTTTTCATGACTTGATACGCAAATAATAAAAAAAATTTTGCTTTTACATTTGAGGTAATCCTGCAGTGTGAAGACTGTGATACATGTCCCAGTCCAAGCTGCTTTAAAGATGGATTTTATGTCTCTGTCTCATCATGATCTTTTATTCTCAGTGCCCATTTTTCTAGCTGTCTTAGACTTGTACATCCTTTTGTATTTTATTCCCATTGATCTTTTCACCATTTTCTATGCTAAAGCCCTACCTCCTCTGAAGATATTTTTGTTTACATTTCCAAGCTGCTCTCATTCTTCCTCCCAAACATACATGCGTATTATTTACGCTAACCAGGAATCTCTTGTCTTCTGTGCCCCCAGCCCCTCCTTTTGCTGCCCCTCTTAACCTCCTCAGATTTTCAGTATTGTATACTGACTTCCACTCTCCCTGCCTTTCTCTACCCTAGCTGCCCCATTTAGATCCATTACCTGTCCACGTTTTAATCCTTACAAATGAGCTTTGCTCTTTTTGCTCAGCCCTGGGGACTGCACTCTGAGCCTGCAGATTCCAGCTGCAGTCTTAAATTCTTAGCTGTGGTAACTGCCTTTGAAGTGCTGCAGCAGCTGTGGTTGAAGATTCGGGGTGCCTTTGCCATCACTATGGCCCAGGTTCCACCAGGCTGAGCAGAAAGGTCAGAGATAATTCTGGAGGATTAAACAACATGGAGAGAGGGAGTAGACAGAGTTCTGCAGGGAAGGCAAGGGCTAGCTGGAGACTGGAGGGATAGAAACATTTAGTCAGAGGTGTGTAGGCGGAGGTAGGCGAGCCACTGCCCTCTACCCAGTTTCCTTCCGTGAGTAATGTCCCACTGCTGATCCACATGATTCACATATGTTAGAGTTCAAGCATGTGCCATATTAATGCACTTAGAATTTTCTTGCAAGGTGAGAACTGGTTGGAAGCAATTCAGCAAACAGTAATGAAATTAAATAATGCAACGCTTTCCAAAAGTGAGGCGACATATGCTTAATGTCCACTGACATGGGTAGTGGGGTGGAGGTGAGGGGAAACACGTTCTTTCCTGAAGCTGAGGCCAGATGAAGGGAAGAAGTGTGTTCAGGCCCTGATCTTACACAGATCCACACTGGTGAAGTGATCTGCCTGCTCAGAGCTGTTGCAACTAATCATTTCACTAACAGCTCCGCAACTAAAAATTGTTTCTGAGTTCAGCTCCTCGCTAGGGCCAGACTCACCAATATGAGTGAGTACCAATAGGTACGTTGTGTCTTGCTGTATGCTAGATTGCCAGTGCTTTTAAAACATGCATTTGAAGCATTATTAGACTTGTGCAACTTGTGTTTTTTGGTTCTAAACAGTGCAAACAGTGTGAAGGTGTTTTCTCTTACTACCAGCTGCTGTGGGTGCCAGAACCCATGACGAGTTTGTGATCTCCTCTCCAAATACATTGTTCTTTTGACAGTTCGTAAAAGTTATGAAAACACATGAGGCTTCTTTTTAACCAGAAGAGCTTTCTTAAACACAAAAGTTTTAAAGGACAGATACAAGTCACTAGAAAAGTTAAGTGAAGTGTGCTCTTTTGAGGAATTTGAAAATTGTTTGTGCTGTCTATCAACGTCATTTGGCATCTAGTTACCAAAAAAAACTCTTTCTGTTTGGGATTCACTGGAACTAAAGGACTTTTGGATCAGACAGCTTCTTTTAAATGCAGAGCTAATTTGCTTGTCAGAGTAAACACTGACAGATTCACCTGAACCTAGTAGCCAAAATTTTATAATAATTTTATAATGAAAAATATAGTAATATTTAAAGTTGGCTATTCTTTTGCTTTTTGATGATGATGGCAGTTTAAATAAGTGAAAAATCATATTTTCCCTTTTTACCTTTATTTTACATTAGGAATATGGTTGCTTTTTCACAAAAGGTTTGTAATCTTTGTTTCATGATAGTCATGACCTTTTCATACAAGTTGTAGTAGAGAGCACTGTTTAAAAGGTGTTCCTCTTTCACGTGCTGATCTGAGACCAAAGACTTAGGTGTTGCTGGGAAGAGCAAGTGGCACTGAAGGCTTGTGGCTATGTAGCTGTGCCATGCTTGGATCACTGCTCTTAGCTGGCCCAGCAGCTGTAACTGTCTGAAAGCAAAACAAAATCCCCCATAACTTATTGTCTTCAACCCTTTCAGAGTAAATCCTAGTGTATCTAACTAGAACTGTGCTGTCCTGTTTATGTTTTGTCATTGACAGAAGGCTAAATTGCTGTTCTCTAATATAATAAACAATTTTATAATAATGCAAAATTTTCTGCAGGATAATTTTTCCTATTTAGAATACTTGCATTTATTTCTGTTGTAGCTTAAGAGTTTGTGTGAAGGGGCTGATGGATGTATTTAAAGTGGCATTGACTTCTATAGAAATTATATTTCCAAAACTGAAGTTAGTAACTACTTTTTCCTTCTGGAATTTAAGCATTATTTCCCAAGTGAAGAGATTATTCTACAATGTTATATTGTTTTCTTTCTCAGTTCAGCATGTCATCTGATTTCTTTAGGCTGTCTTTACTTAAAAACAAACTCCTAACCACTTAAAATGTCAAAATAGCTGAATGCTGCTGAAAAGAAAAAGCCAAAGTTTATCTGTGTTTGCATAGGGGTAATGGCATACATATGAGATTAAAACTGCAGTCCAGGTAATTATCCGTAGGAAGCAAATTTATACTCTGATTTCAGATACTATGTATAGAATGTGATTAGAATTTAATGTGCTGCAGTTCTATTTGCAAAATACACAGGTCCTATATAAAACTTCTTTTTATAAAGTACTCTCTAGAAGCCTTGGGGATCCCTGTTTAACTTGCAAATGCCGAAGTTTGATCTTCCCCAAATAGAAGATAGTGAAGCTCCTGAGTTCCATGAACTGATTTCTATTTTCAGCTTCCCATAGAGAGCTGACTGTTCAGCCAATTTAAACTTTTTTTTTTTCCTATTCCACTTCATCTTCGTTCATTTTGGCACCATTTTGAACTGGAAAACTTCCAGTTAGTTAATTGGCCATTTGCCTTGTTTTATGTGGGGGTGATGTCAAGTGCTGAAATAACCAATTGACTGAAAGCAATCTTGTTTCAAAGGTTGGTCAGAACCAAACCTCAGAAGGTACCAATTTCAGGTTTGTTTTGTATTTTACACAGCATTCCTTATCCTAGTGGACGAACCTCAGAGAAGAATATAGATTTGAGGTCAAGAGCTTGTTTGCTCAGATACCACATTCAGAGCACTGAATTCTGGAGGAAAGAGGAATACAGATCTTTTTTTTAATTTTACTTTCAAGACTTTTTCTACCTCTACTCTCTAATGTTATATTTTTATAAAAATATTAATTCAAGTCCCCATTTAAAAAACAAAATGTGGTAATTATACTGTGGTTTGGGAAAGTTTTTTCCTTTAGGGATGAGTGGAAAAAAACTGCTTATGTTGTATAAGGTATCACTGGCAT